CTCTTCTCTCTTAAAAAAAAAAAAAAAAGGTCTCCTCAGTTCCACATAGAACAAGCTTCTCGATCCCAACCCTCCTCTTTTGTCCAATTCAATCTTTGGATAGATCTTTTGTTCTAACTCAGCATGAAAAGAAAAACTTTCTTTAAATGCTATAAACTTAAAACTAACTGAAGTCCCTAAACAAATCCTCCTCTGAGCTTTGCAAACATATATACACGGGGCTTGTGTGTGTGCGTGTGTGCGTGTGTGCGTGTGTGCGTGTGTGTTTTTATTTAACCCTGGTGCATTTTCTGTTTACTATTATTCTCTGTGAACCAAAGCTTGCTGCAAGAAACTTATAAATATAGAGATAGCTTACAGGCTTTAAAACATAAAAAGCAGAGAATGTTTTGGATTTGAAAATCATAAATTATAATTTAATGCCAATAACAATTTACAACAAATGGTTGTTTACAATAAACTAACACAAAACAAACAAGTCAAGATCCTGTGTTCTTAGTAAGCATAAAAACTTCACACACACACGCTCACATGGATAGCACTTGCAATAGAAAAAGCTAAATCTAGAGGTCAGCAATCCCCTGCAATAATAGTATATTTATATATTTATATATATTTATATATTTATAGAAAAGGAGCCATGATTCAGATGTAAAACTCTGCTCAAATTCACAGTCATACGCCCCCCAGCCCCCAGTACAGATGTGTCTAAGCGGAACACACGAAAGATCAGGCTTGAATGGACTTTGCAGAGCCATCCCTCTCTCTCCCTCCCTCTCCGTGAACCCACAGCACGGTGGAGGGACGTGTGGCAAAAAGGGGAGCGGGGGAACCTCCGCCAAGCACCCCCTTTGCCAGCTTTCCCAGACGGAGCATCTGCCCGAGGCCGCGGGCGGGGGCAGCGGGAGACCAGAAATGACACGCACACGCGCAAAGCCGGAGCGCAACCCCTCTCAGACCCGCGGCCCTGCGCGTGCACCGGGAAGGGGCCTCCCCACGCGTGGACGCGAGGCACGGGCAGGCGGGCAGCCCGCCTGGCGCACACAGAGCTGACCTGCGCTCACGCTTTCACAGTCTAAGGTTAAAAAAAAAAAAAAATCAAACAGAACAACCCCCACTTGATAATATATATACATGAAAAACCGACTCCTCCGCGCTAGAAGCTAAAGCCACTCCATGTGAAGACCTCTCAATGACAACGAGAGATGGCAACTACAGAGTATTAGAAAAATCACACGTACTTAAAGGAGACTCACTGCAAACAACTGACCTATATTTACAATACTGCTATTACCTTGCTTGAATGATCTTGTGCGCCTATGTCAGAAATGTACAAAAGATTTTTCGCCCCATTCCGATCATAAAATAGATACTGATCTCCAGATTTCTAATACTTTTTCACAACAATACCTTTCCTACGCAGGCACTTAAGTGTGACAAAAATAAGGGCCTTTTTCCAGAAAATCCATTTTTAATTAACAGGAGGATTAGATGAATGGAGGTTGATGGTTTACCATTTCACCATAGTACTTCCTAAAACCACAGATAAACCACGAACTTAAGTCCTCCACCCCCATCCCGGCATTAAACAGGTAAATACACTACAATACATCTGCTACAAACTTACTGTGACAAGTAAACAAATCAATTGCCTATGGACTTAAATGACTGCAAACTATAGAGAAGTAATGTGGTTTCTGAAAGACATTTATGACAGCCAAACAAGTTTCAGATATCAAATAATATTTTAATTTCTGAATACTTTCAATTTTCCTTGGAATATAACACACAAAGACTCGACCAAACAGTTCAGTTATTATAACTTTTACAGTATACAGAAATGTTGCACTTAAAAAAAAAACCTTCAGTTTTTTTAAACACAAAACTGTAAACTCTAAGATACTGAATCAATCACGTTATCTATAAGTGCCAACAGTGTTATTTTGTCATGCTGATTTCAATGGTATTTTTTAAAAAGGGAAAATATCAACAATTATTATAATACAAAGGGCTTGCAAATATACAAACAGATAGAGGAGTTTAATAACAATTCATGAAGAACTATGTGGAACCCAATTCAAATTACAAAAGTTCACTTTGCTTGTTTGTTTGTTTTTAAATCAAAACCGTAGTGTGTCTTGGACACAATTCCTTCTACCTATAATAAATCCCCACAGTTCATTTTCTGTCTGAAATATCAAAAACCTAGATTTGGGGGTAGTTATATGACACGTGTGGTTCATTCGGGTCTATATAATTATAGCTCTCTCAGCTTCAAGCTAGATTTTGGGTCACCACCTTAAGTGCGCTTCCATCATTGTGTTGTTGAGGGTTTTTTTCTCTTTTCCTTTCTTCCTATGATACTTTCGTGGACTCAGTTTTAATTCTTTCAGAACATATATTTTAAGGATACACAGTTTTTTTTTTAAAGAAGCCAAGATTATATCAAAAATTATTATAGAACCACAGAATAAACTGGTTTGAAACCAGAAAAATACAAAAAAGAACAGCTATAGGTACATAGACACATAGGACAATTAATAATTTGGAAAAAAAAGACTTACTTTCTTCCATTCTGCTAATTTTCTCCAAATTTCCTTTAAATGCACTTTAAGCGAGATTTTTTTTTAAAAAGTTTACCCCAAAAAAGAAAAAAGGAAGAAAAAAGAAAAAAAGAAAAAAAACCACCCTCGTTTCTTTTCTTCTTCTTTCTCTTTTTTCTTTCTTTCTTTCTTTTTTCTTTCTTTCTTTTTAATTTTTTTACAAAAAATGATAAGTAGCAAGTTTTTTTTTCTGAACGACACGGGAGTTTTTAATGCATTCTGTAAAAGTTCATTTGACAGTCTCTTTTTTAATTCACAGTCCATTAATTTTTTCCTGTCTTCTCTTAGCAAACTTGTAACATCCTTTTACATCCTTTCTTAGCAGAAGGAAATTTAAGAAACAACCAGAACCCAAACGTCATTTGCTTTCCTTTCACTCTCTTTCATCTCCCTTCTCAATTTTTAAATTTTTTTTTTCTCTCTCCAATATTTTATTGAATGGACATATAAGGCCAGTTAAAACTGCTGCCAGACAGTAACATATCCCTGATTAGGGTTTCTATGGGGGTTTTACCTACCAAACGGACGAAAAACAATTGCTCTATGACAGAAGAGGAGACAGTGCGAAGGGAGGGGAGACGTAGTAATAGCTTCCCGAATCGTGTTGGCTGGTTGGGATACTGGCTCCTAACATACTCTTCCAAAGCACACTGTGACTTCTCCTGTAAACTTTCAACATGGGCTACATCAGAGAGACCACAGGCATCTAGAAGAAAGTGTATTAAAAAAAAAAAAGAAAAAGAAAGAAAAGAAAAAAAGAAAACAATCATCAGATTAAAAAGTTGTTTTTAAATTTAATTTGTTTTTTTTTTTATTATTGCTAGAATTAAGTGTAGAGCGTGCACCATCACCTTGCCCCCCAGAGTTTAAGTAGGTTTTACCAAAAGGGACAATGTGTGTGTGTGAGTGTGTGTGTGTGCGCGTGTGTGTGTTTGTATTTCTCTCTTCCGGAGGGTCTCCTTTAGGACTGAACACAGCTCCAAGATTCGAGATTTCTAATCGCACTACAGACCTGAGGGGTTGACAGCGAGGTGCTGGCCGAGCCTAATTTTGTATATCTATATTTTTAGGGGGAAAGGCTGGCAGGGGGAGGGAAGGCTTGAGTAGAAAGGGGGGATAGGAAGCCACTGTTTCTCCCCCACTTGGAAAATAATTGCGCAGAGCCTAACCATGTGCTGAGAAGGAATACTAATAACAGTGGTAGAAATAATAATAATAAAAAACTGGCCAAGCCAAAGATAATGGCGCCCCGGATCCAGCAACAGATTCTCCCCCAAAGAAGACAACGCGTTTTTCTCCAGTCTTTGAAACTGATTTAAGTGGCCCTTTAAAACTGATCTTGTCAGTTTAGCCTATTCAGAGGCAGCCATGCAAACTGTGATCTCTCTGTTCATTTGAGCTGTTTCTTTTCCCCCCTCTTTTCTTTTCTCTTTCTTTCTTCCCCCCCCTCCACTCCCCCCTCTTTTTTTCCTCTTCTTCTTCTTTTTAAACCTAAAGGCCCTTACAAGAAGAAAACTCCCTGATAGGGTCTGGACATTTTTTTTTTTCTGATACGCTAAAATACAATAAGTTCCCTTTAAATCAGAGACGTCTGTGCTGAAAGAGCACAGGTTGTGACCTGACCTCCCTGTGGCTTTCCTAGGCACAGGGCTAACACATGCATATTCTGCGAGTCATTAGAACCCAGATTTTTTTTTTTCTCTTAAAAGAGGCAGCAGCAAACATCATATGCATCTACGTGTGTCTGCTTTACATCAGTGGCTCTTATTGGGGTGCTGCAGCAGCTGCATGCATAAACCCTGGTTTTTTGCATGTGGCTATCTGCCCCGAATCAGATAACAAGAAACATTTATCTAGTTGGGAGGCAATTTACACGCCAGGCCTCACATTTTGAAAATAGTAATAAATTAAGCGGTTACGACAGGATCGGACGATTGTTTTCTCAGAAGGCTAAAAAGTGATTTGGGAGAGAGGCAGGGTTTGCAATGAGCTCCTCGGTGCGGGTGTGGGTGTGTGTTGGCCAGGGGCTGGGGACGGATGTGCGCGTGTGTGGGATCCTAGCTGAGCACTTGAGCAAGGGAGAGGAAAATGCATCCTAGAAAAACGACAGAAAATAAAATAAGCACCCCTCAGCCACACGGTCCCACTCAGGCTCCCTGTCCCCCTATGGCTAGATGCGCCCTGCTAATTGATCACCTTAGGACTTGAGCACAAGTAATTTGGGGGAGAAAAAAAGAAGGGTTTTTTATGTGTAAAGCAATAATATATAAAAGGAAGTTTAGGTCACGACCCAGAACCTGGACAAAGTCCAGAAAATGACTTCGTTCCCCAGACCCCCTTTAACACAACAAGGAACGGATTGTGAGCCCTTCTTTTCCCACATAAACTACATTTTTTTCCTGTTTCCTGATATCAGGCTTTAAAAAACTCCGATGAGTAATTATTTTACAGGTCCTGCTTCCATTCATATGTTTATCGCGTGGCCACTTTCCCAAGCTTTCAAATGAGTTACAGAATAAATATATATGTATTTAAACTGAATCCCAAAACTTCTAGGGCTCCAGCACAGTGGGCTGTCGATGCAGCCTTAAAGTTAGCAATCTGAGATAACGTATTGCACAAATTGGCAAGCAGATTTTTTTTTTTTCAGAAAAAAAAATATTTAGCCTCCAGAGTTAATATCAGGTTTATTACTCACTCAGGTTAAACCGTAGTGCAAGCTAATTAGATTTCACAACGCACTCAATTATTGCTTTATAACTCATGCACTATTTCTAGGCAGCAAAAGTTGACACATATATTCCTTCCTCCCTCCCCCCCTTTGATTATCTAAGAAACACCTCGAGCTCTTTTCTTCGGGAGAGGCATGGTCGTGCCACCCCGGAACTACACTGCGGAGCAGCAGCTTCAGTGTCCTCTCCGCTTACTTTTTCATACTATCTCTGTCTACTTATGGTAATGATCTTTTCGCACCCGCTACTCGCTTTGGACTATCCAGTTCCTGCTGGGTGCAAATGCAAACTTTCCCCCTTAGCTTAAATGACACAGAACTGCTCACTGCCACATTCTGTTTAAATCAGAGACAGCTCTTTGGGAAGTTGATTTATTTTATTTTACAGGATGGCAGGGAACATATTTTAAACTCAGCTTCGCACATTTAACTTTCTTTTTTAATTCAATTTTTTTAATCCTGCAGGGCTTTTTTTCTCCCCCTTCCTGGCTGCCCATAAAAAAAAAAAAAACAAACAAACTC